GGAGGATGGCTAGAGACATATACCTGGGACATTAGGGGCCACTGTCCCTTTATCTCCCAGAAGGTCTCACTGCCCCAATTCCTGTCCCGTTTGCCTCTTCTCAGGTGTCAGAAAAAGTCATGATCCTAGTGACGGATGCCAATGATGAGGCACCCAGGTTCATCCAGGAGCCTTACACTGTCCAGGTTCCTGAGGTGAGCTAGGAGCCGCTGGGCAGGGCCCATGCATTCCCACCCTAGACCCATGGCCTGCCCTGTTGGACTGCCCTGTGGCCTGGCCAAGGCGACGTGACATCAGTGTGCAGAGCACCTCTCCATCCCTCACTGCCCTCTGGAGAGCCCTTCCCTCTGTCCTCCCCCCACCTCCATTGCCATGCCTCACACATTCATTTTTTTTCCCAAAGGAATGCTTATTTACCATTTCTCAAATCATAATGTATGTTTATTGTGGAAATGTAAAATATGTAGAAAAGTAGAGTAAAAAAGTTTCAAGATCACTCAAAACCCTTCCTGGTTGAAACAGCATTGTTAAATTTTAGTGTCTTTCTTTCTAGTCATTTTTGTGATTATTGGATTTATTTTCTGCATGTTTTACAGTTGGGACTACACTAAACCTGCTCTGTATACTTTTTTCATTTAATTTACAAGCATTTCTCCCATTACTTTTAAAATTTGCATAATTATTTTAAGTAGCTTCCATTAGTGAGCATATAAATGGTGGCATTTATGGGACTGCTCCCCTATATTTAGATATTTAAGATACTTTAAATTTTTGCTGTCATAAGAAACATCAAATTCTGAACATAACAGTTCTTTCTCTCTAATTAGAATTGTTTCCTTAAGAAACAGTCCAAGATTTGAAGTTACTAGGTGGAAAGCATGAATGCCTGCAGGTGTTATTGCTTTTCCAGAATAGCCTGATAAGGTCTTTCCCCCAGGACGTGGGAGAGGGCTGGTTTCCCTGTCACCTGTCAACACTGGGAATTTTCAGATATTTATGTTTGCTTTAGTAGGAGAAAAATATTTTACTCTGGTTCTAAATTGTCCATATTTTATTCCTAGTGATGCTGATTATGTGTGTGTTTATTAACCCTTTTCTCAGTTCATGTTTAAACAGTTTATCTCCCTGAAGTCTTAGTTTTCCTCTCTCCTGGAAGCCATCCTCAGGGGAACACATCTGTCCCTCCCTTGCTCTTCTTTCCTGCACTCTCGGCTGTGTCCCTCCCCTGCGGAGGCTCCCTGGGTTAATCCCCACCTTCTCACCTCTTCTTAGCCCTTCACTCCCTTGACCCCACTTTTCCATGGCCCTCCGTACCTGCTCCCTGAGCATTCTGCCACTGCCCAGGACTGACCTCTGTGGCCACAACCCCTCAGGACACACCTGCTGGGAGCAGCATCTTCAAGGTTCATGCTGTGGACAGGGACACAGGTTCCGGAGGAAGCGTCACCTACTTCCTACAGGTGAGGCAGCGCACACAAGGCATAACCAGAGGCATGGGCCAGGAGGGACATCGAGCTGGCTCCACCTCCATCACCAAGGCCCTAGGTCAGTGCCTGTACTATTTCCCAAAATTGTCAGAGATGCCACATCAGGTCCCAAGGAGAACTCAGTAAATGCAGGGGAAGGACAGACAGGTGAGGACATGGGAAGGGCTTGGGCGGAAGCTGTCTTCCCCTGGCTGGCCCACCCTGGCTTCCTCTGAGTTGGTCTGCCTACCTTTCCCCAGATCTCCAGGGCCCTTAGTTCTCCACCCCCAAACACTTTGCAACCATACAAGGTGGAAGAAAGCTGCCTATAGAAAAGGGGGTAGAAGGGGCAGCTCTCAGGAGCAGAGCTATGATGCCCCAGCCCTGTCCCTGTCCATCCATCCCACCCTGTCAGAGGTGAGACCCTCCTTGCCCCCCACCTCCCTGGGCACCCAGGCACCGACCAGCTGCCCTCCTGCGCATGCTACTGTTTCCATAACATTCTTTACACATTTACTCTCTTGCTCTCACGGTTTTCAAGGCAATACAACTTGGTGGTTAAAAACACAGGTTATAGAGAAATCTCTTGGGATCCACAGATACTGAAGAAATCTAACCACTTCCCACCCATGAGGCCTTCAAACATAATATAATGTTCCTAGCTAGTTCCCTTGCCTGTAAAATGGGAAAGATAAAAGTGCATCGTCAATGGGTCGCTGTGAGGATTAAATCCATGCAAAGCTCAGTAACAGCTTCTGACACACAGTTACCCTCTTTTAGATTGTGGATCATCTAATTCCCTCCTCACTCCCCCACCCCAAATGCTGCCTAGGACTGGCCTACACTCACTCACTTGCAGGGTTTGAAGA